ACAAATTAACCAGTGTTCTTACAAAAGTAATGCAGTTTTGCACTGACGATATTACATTGTATTTGTGGTGAAGTACTAGGCACAAGATATCAATTAGGCATTTTCAGTCTACTCAGTCTCTAAGGTTATCATTTAATTCTTGGCAATATATAATAACTGGTATGCATTTTGGTACTTAACTCATGAATTGTGGAGAACAAGAAGCAGTGTATTATAGTAACAGGGTCTGGATCTAACAAACAATTACAGTATTGAACAAATATCTTCTATGAACTTTGTGATTGGTTTTGCTGTTGGTCACTTGTAGTAGATCCTGCAAAGATAAAAGAAAAACAAGTCAGTATAATTTGTTGTGTATTGCCAACCTTGGCTAAAGTTCCCTTACATTGACATGGGTGATAAACAAATACAACAATACTAAAAACAAGTAAGGTGTATTTCATATAGGCTGAATTAGACTGATATGAAAGAATCTGTATACCCCCCTAAAATACTCTAAAGAGCAGAATAGAAGTATCTACTTGGTAATAGGACAAACAGGTTTCAGAGTGAATAAATCACAGGTGTAAAGCTAAGGGTTTATTACAACTCAAATATTTGAAGCTATAAAAAGATTTATATTTATTACCTCAAAACTATAAAATATTACCTCAGGGTCTAAACATGCCACTTTTCTCCAATAAAACAGGTGGCAATGGGGGAGGGAAGAGACTGCCAATGCTCAAAAGAGTAATGGACTCTCTACAGACCCTGGAAATTTAAAAAGCTGGTAAAATGTCTTTAAAAGCCCCAAAAGGGTAAGGGACAAATAAGGAACTTATTTCCCTAAGCCTTACCCTATCCTTGTGAGTTTTATGATGCTAAGTAGGATATACTCCAAACTCTAGTGAGGAGTACTTTATCTTCATTGAAGAAGAATCAGGTGCTGAGCTCATACAGATTTTAATCATCTATTATGCTTAAATGAAAAAATATATTTATGTACTAAATGTGTGACATTTAATGTCTTATAAACAGAGATGGACAAAACGCCAGAGTTTTTTTCAAAAGCTGTGGCATTAAAAAAAAAAAAAAGAGAAAGGAAGCCCCTTTAATCTTTGGCACAGTGGTGCTGGTACAAATTTCCAGAATTATTCACAGAATTATTCATTCATATTTCATACTATGCTCACCAAAACAGTAACATAATAATTATTTACTTTCCTAAGACTTAACCAATCTAGGCACCATAAATAAAAGAAGTTATACCGGTACTGAAAAGCGTAAGTAATGCAAGGACAAAGAGTAGGTAATGGGCAAAAAAAAAACAACAACAAAACTTCATTTGTGGTGTAGAAGATTCGCCTTCATTAAATACCAGGGTAACGGTTTATACAAAATAAATAAGTAAAATCTATTTCGCATGACTGATCAAGAGTTGCTAGGCTACAGGGGCTGGTTGTCCAAGACTTAAAAGAAAAAAAATTCAAATAATTTGTCAATCCAATAGTCAAAAGAATCAACATTGGAAAGACACGACATACTCTTTACCAAAAGAAATGTCAAAACAAACTTTCCATATTAAAAACATGTTTCTTTTAAAACAACTCTGCGCATAAAAGCTTTATTATTCTGAAATTACCCACTGGGATTGAAATTTCAGAAACATATTTCATAACAATAAAGTGAATCTTAGTAAAATTTTCTGAAGTTTTCTCACAAGTTTAAAGCAAAATAAAGTATATTATTTTAGGCACAGAGGATTACAGAAGTCTCAGTGGTATTTTCAAAATATCTAACCTTGATTTGATTGTTCTGTATTCATGCTTTCTCCTTCTGTAGTCTCCAACATTTCTTCATCTTCCTCATCATCATGTAGGTCTTTTGAAATTAATTGTCTAGCTAATTTAATATTCAGTCCTTCATTGTAGTGAAGCTTCCTTTTCATTTCAAATTGTCGCCTTTTTTCTGTAAGATACAAAAAAGTACGCTTAGGAAGTCTTATCTCAAGGATTGATCCATGCCTGTTTTGTAAATAAAGTTTTACTGAAATACAATCATGCTTATTTGTTTTTGTCACGCTTAAGGCTGCTTTTGTGCTCAATGGCAGAATAGAGTAGTTTGCAACAGAGATCACTGGGTGTGTAAAATCTAAAATATTTACCATCTGGTGCTTTACAGAAAAAGTTTGCCAACCTCTGCTTTAAATGGTTCAAGTACATCTCAATGGAGAACAGGAATAAGATAGAGCTATTAGAAGTTATATTTGTGTGTCTATGGCCATACCGCCCTGAACGTGCCCGATCTCGTCTGATCTCAGAAGCTAAAGCAGGGTCGGGCCTGGTTAGTACTTGGATGGGAGAAGTTATAG